TATATTTAAATATCAAAAAAGAAAGAAAAACCTACGTTTGCATTAGCCCCTGTGGCTCAGTGGTTAAAACGCTCAGACGCTAACCGACCACCAGTTATTGGTTCGAACCCACCAGCTGGTCCAAGGGAGAAAGACAAGTCATTCGGCTTCTGTCAAGATTTACAGCCTAGGGAACCCCCCGGGGCAGTTCTACTCTGTCCTGCAGGGCCACTCTGAGCTGGGCGCTCCTTCAAATAGCCACAAGATAAAGCCACGCCCACCAGCAAATAGGGTCGATGCACTGACCCACGGTGCTGGTGAAGACTATTGAAGTTACCATGAACGGCGGCAGAGCAAACCCATCTGCCTCAGAAGACGTACGGCCAGAGCGCTCCTTAGAAGCAAGGATGGCGAGACTTCACCTCATAGGCTTTGGACGTGTTGCCAGGAGAGGCCGGTTCCTGGAGAAGGACATCGTGCTTGGTCAAGTCGAGGGGCGGCGACAAAGAGGAGGTCCCCGGACAATGGGCTCAAACGTAGCAATTGTGAGGCTGGTGCAGGACCAGGCAGTGCTTTGTAGATACATCTTCCGTAGATTTTAGGCTCGCTCTGAGCTGAAGCTACCGCGGCTAATCCTAAAACAGCGATGATATCTTTCTAAGGCCAGTCTTTCAACTTTGATAAGGAAGCCCAGACAACGTTACAGAAACCTCTTAGACATAAGAGGGAATGGGTTGCTGAGCCAGGGAGCTCAGGACAAAGATGCTGGCGCACACCAAGGTCAATTCCCATAACTTAATTCACAACTCACCACGTGGGAAATATGGACTAAGGGTATTAAAAGCTGTGAGCAGCCGTCTAAGGTGGGCCCTGGGCCTCTCCCCGTCCAGAGGCGGGAACAGTGATGAGAACAGAAAGACGCAGGGACACAGGGAGTCCAGTGGACTCATCTGGGACACACAGCCACAGTCGCTGCAGCCCTGAGACCAGAAGAGCCAGATGGTGCCCGGCTGTCCCTGCCAACCACCCTGAAAGGGACCTCAGTAGGAGGTCCTGGACAGTGGGAGAAGAATGTGGACCAACACTCAAAATCATAAAAGGGATTAGGCTTACTGGTCCCATAGAGGCTGGTGGAACCCCAGAGATTCT